GGCAACCAGGCAGGCAGGCAGGCGAGCAGTTAGGAGCCAGCGTCCCGGATTGTGAGAGGGATGTCTGACTGCTGGTTTAGGCCCGATTGAGGGGTCCCAGATGGGAGAGGGTGCAGGCCAGCTGAGAGACACCCCCCCACCCCCGTGCACGAATTTTGTGCAATAGGTATCTAGTAAATTAATAATTAACAATGTAGACAATGCTCTAAATATACTCCCCCAAAGGCAAGTATCAAAGAAAACTAAGCTATAATGGCAACTTGAAGAATGCAAAGAAGGTAATTAGGTTAGGTAGTTACTTCAGCAGATAGTGGGTATACATGCAGAAATTGAAAATGAGTAATACTGCCCCACACCCTCATGTTTTCCCTAATCTTCCAGACACTCGTATGTAGCAAAACATACAATATCATATACTCCTCAATCATGTGAAAAGCATACGTTCATACACATTCTTATAGCCACATATGTTTTCATACATTCACTTCCTGTGTGGATCATTCATTTATTTTTTAGTAACTAAGAAAAGCATCTTGCTCTAGCTGGTTTGGCTCAGTGGATAGAGCATCAGCCTGCAGACTGAAGGGTCCTGAGTTCGAGTCCAGTCAAGGGCACATGCCCGGGTTGCAGACTTGATCCCCAGTAGGGGGTGTGCAGGAGGCAGCCGATCAATGATGCTCTCTCATCATTGATCTTTCTATCTCTTTCTCCCTCTCCCTTCCTCTCTGAAATCAATAAAAATATATATATTAAAAAAAAGCTTCTTGACGCAATAGGCACAGCATCTATCTAGTACATGATACCTTAGTAGAGTAGACACTCAATAAATAATAATTAATAATTAAAAGGATAATACCACAGTACTAGTTAATTTTTTCCCTATCATTACATAGTGTAAGCATAAAAACAATTATCTGCAATTATGGAATTTATTTTAATATGCCACTTTGAAGGTGATAAATGCTATAAACAAAATAAAATTGGGTATGTGATGGAGTTACTGGGTAGAGGGGGCTACTTTGCTAGGATGATCTGGAAAGGATTCTCTGAGGAACTGTCTATATGAGTCTGAGAATAGGACAATGAAAATGAGAAAGCCTGATGATGTGGAGAAAGAGCATTTCAAATAGAAAGAATAGTAAGTGCATACTCCTGAGATAAGAACAAACTTGACATGCTGGCAGATTAGAATGACAGCCAGTAAGGCCACATGTGGTAAAGGGAAAAGAAAGCAACAGAAGATGAGACCAGAGGGGTAGGCAGGAAGGTGGCCAAGTCACGTAGGGCATTGAAGGCCATAGTGGGGAATTCAAATTTTATTCTACATGCAATGAGAAACCATTTTTATACCACACAAATTATATCATTTCCAGTAGTGAGAGAAATTTACTCTGGAGCATTTGTATTTTCTGGTTTCTCTATCTATTCTTATCATTAGGAGTGTATTTATAGAAATTGGGGTTAAGGATAGAGTCTATGACATTAAAATAGAATTATTTTATGTAAGGTTGTTATATTTTGGGACTGAAACCATGGGTATAATTCCATAACATTTATTAACTATTATATTACTACACTTTTACTAAAATAATTAAAATTTTGTTATTCCTTAAATTTTTTTGAACTTATTCTCCAGACTATATTTAGCATATAGTTCTTTGGAAAGTAAAGTATATTGCAATTATATTCCCAAATAAAATAAAAATAGGAAATATTAAAATCAGACCAAACGGGTCTATAAAAGCTCACTCATTTGCTAAACTATTGTGACCAAATTTTTAAAAAGAAAATGAATTGCTGTCCATTACACTAACAGTATTTCAGAAGAAACTGACATCAATAAAAGGCTTCTTTCCCCTCTTTTGGGGGGGGGGGGGAATCCAGGAAATGAAAGATAGACTAGAGAGTCCAACTAAATATGTTACAATTATCTGAACTTGATCTTTATCAAACTCGTAAAAGGATGATTCAGCTACCTATGAAGCAGAGTATCAGCAAGTGGCTAGAACAAGGAGACAGAGGAAATGAGACAAGCTCCTGTGAACACTTTATACCAATGCTTGCAGCACTTTTGATTTTTTTAGGGGTGAATAAACTCAGTTAAGTGGAAATTATTTTTAACCATTTTCCATCAATCCTCCTCAGGTAGAGATAATTTATAGAACAGATGATTTGAACTAGGGTTATATCAGGATTTTTGATATGGTGGAATAATATTTCTGAGAGAGACTACTTTGTTAGGTTGAATGTTTGGTTAATTTGTTCAAGAAGTACAGTCTAAAAAAAAAGGAAGTATAGTCTATATTGTAAAAATTCTGTTCTTACTGTCTTGAGCCTTGAAAAAGCTCCTCATCACAAGAAATAAAAGGATATATTTAAATATGTTCAAAGATATTTACCTCTTATTCTGAGAAAATAAAATGCTTAAAAATAATGTACAAAATCACCACATATTTTAAATAAAAAGTGAGAACTCAAATTAGTTTCTGTAAACTAGATATAAATGAGTTTCTCCTTTCAAGTTTAAAACAAAGAACCAGAGTCATAAATAATTCTAGCTTGCCAGAGGCATGGCTATTTCTTTATACTGACTGTCGACTATCTAATTTAATTAGAGGTATTAAACTCCATGCTGAGGTCAACGAGCCTTACATCCTCCAATATTACACTTCAACCAGTGCTCATTAATGTGTCTACTGAATGGATTAACACACTAAAGATATATGTACAAAGGAAAGGGGGACAACCTAATGATATCCAATTGTTCATTTGTAATAGGACACATGTTCTAGGCCTCAACTTATTACCTCTAATGTGGAATTTATTAAATTCAGGAGAAAAAATGCCAATACAGAAAGTGATTTTTTATTAAGGGGAACTGGTATAAGACAACTGGTTTCTATGATTAAGTTTAAACATTTAACCTTTTATTAAAAAGAAATTGATACTATAATAGAGCTAAAATATAAGCCTGTTACTTAGAAAAATCTTACATACTAGCACTCTGAAGAGCAGATTAAGGACAAGAGTAATAAAGAACAGGAAAAAGGAAAACTCAGTATATAGAGTAATAAATATTAAGTTGACAGGTTTTACTTTTATATGGTAGGTACTATATATGTGAAAGCAGCGACATTTAAAATTTCAAAATACTTAGAGATTAAATAACACACTTCTAAATAATACATGGGTCAAAAATTCTCAAGAGAAAATAAAAAATATTTTGAACTAAATGAAAATAAAAAAGTTCTGGAAAAGGATACTAGTGATGGGTGTATAACAGTAAATGAATTTTATGCCAATGGACTGTACATTTAAAGTAGTTAAAATGGTAAATTTCATGTTGCATATATATTTTATATTTAAAAAAAACACCTTTCTATACTTATATGAAACTCTTAGTGTTCAAGGTTTAATCCCTCAAAATTCCAATATTTAAAATTTTCACCATTTAAAAGTATAATTTCAAATAGAACTCAACTGTTTAACAATTCTTAAATGGTGTTATCATTTCCAAAATTAATTTTGTTGTGATACCTGATTGTTAAACATCCATTTCAGATTCTTATTATATAGAGACAAACCATTGTGAATGTTTTGAATGAAATAATAAATCTTACTTGACATTTCTACAAAGGTCACAGGTACGAAAGTTTAAGTACCATATAATGATCAGGTTTGATATAGTGAAGTAAAAATATCCTGACATAATTTTTAAAAAGTATTTTAACAAAAAATGATATACTTTATTCTGCTCTTATGCTTGCAATCTAAGGTACTATTAATTTTAGACTGTTCTGGGGTTTAAAAGTTGTATCCATGGAGCCAAAAAATGATGATGATGATAAATATGAGTCACTGCCAAGTTCTTAATGATTAAAATTATTTATCTTTTTGTATTATACTCATACTTACACACCTCCTCCTAAACCTACCACACTATTGTCTGTGTCCATCATGGCTCTTTTTGTAATTCTAAAAACTACATGCCAAGAAATTCTATAGCAAACCTCTATTGAACATGCTTTCCTACATTTATCAATTATCTTCACCTTTATTACTCATTTCAATCTAATTAGCGTCCTTATATTACTTTTACTAACCATTACTCATTTAGTAAGCATTTTCCAACAATATTCTAAAATATAAACAAAATGCATCAAGGATATTAAATCAATCTTATAAAATATTTGAGAAGAGTTCTGAAGTTCCTTTTCAATAGTGTGATAAGAGCACTGTTTTCATAGCTTATTATGAAGTGTACAGAGCTTTGATATCAAGCAACAAAATATCAAGTAAAATGACCTATGATATTAAGTTGGTTACATGCAGCAGTTTTGAATAAATGGAGGAGGAAGAAAAGATGGAGGAGGAAGAAAAGATGGAGGAATTGGAGAAGGCAAAGAGAAGAAATGTTGGATAAGATTTTAATTTTAAAGTATTTCTTCCTAACAAAACCATATACACACAACTGTTCTCTGAGGTATCCCTGTGGTCATTAAAATGATTTTTGAATAACGGTGCCAGCTACAGTAAAATGGTGTCATAGGTTTTAAAAGGTGTGGGCCATCAAAATTACTCCACTATCTCTCTCGTAAAATTTACTTAAATTAAATAAGGCTTATTTTATCTGCTATTTTAGTTTTAATTAAAATTTATAATAAAGAATGTTATATTTTAAGTGCTTTTGTAATAATTTACTTTTTCCCCCCTCCTTCAATCAATATAAATATATCTATCCATACAAAGGGACTTGAAATATAATTTCACAACTTTGTATACACAAGTTTTTCAATTTGTCAGGTCTCCATTTTCTTGAAGGCAAATCTTTAGTTAAGACTATCAATCATATCATTAAAGAAAATAGAGTTTGTTCTATAACAATACTGTTTCTGAAGATATTGGGTGAGTACTCAGAATTAGTGTTTGATCAACTAGATTACTAGTACTTACATATTTTATATATTAATTTTTGTAAATACCAGGATTTTAACACTTACTTTTTTGGTCAAAGAGTCATCAGACTCAGAAGGCATTCTTGTTGATACATGAAAAATTACTTCCATTGTAGAGGTAGCAAAATATGGTGTGGTCAATCCAGTGCTTTTGTTTTTTTGTAGTCCTCCCATGAAACCACAATGGTTTGTAAGATTTACCTAGAAGCAATGAAGAGACACAATATTAATCAACTAAACAAAATTAAAAAAAACTCAGTTGAAAAAGAGCAAACTTTTCACTTTGTAAAAACAAGGGGAACAAAGGGATCAATCAATGCTTGACCCAGAATTACCAGTTAGAGCTGCTCTATTCACTTTAGTATTTTTTCTTAAGTATTTGAAGATCCCTAATTAATAGGAGTTAATTAGAAAAGAAATGAACTGCTGTGTACTATGAATCTTTAATTAGGCTACTAGGTGTTAATGGTAAATTGTAAAGGCTGTGGGGGACACCAAGGCCACAGAGTAAAAATCAAGTAGCAAAAATCAAGACTGGAAATGATTTCGGGAAAAGTTAAAACAGTAATGCCACTTTGATAAAATTATTAATTAGGTGTATCATATTTACTCCTCAAAACTGCCTTCCTAATTATTAGTACGTATCATTAGCCCAAAACAAGAATATCAAAATGCAGAATTTAAGCATACTTCAAATGCATCGAACTAGGAATCAATCTGTGCAAAGATTTTTAAATATCTTTTTTTCTGATTCTAGATACAATAAAGGCTAATATCAGGGCTGTTGCATTGAATTATATTCCCTGGATCTGTGTGATGCATGGAAGTCAGCAACTTAAGTTCATTATAGAAAATTAAAGAAATAATGGTGAAAAAAATTTTAAACACTGCTTAAATTTCTCCATTCAGAGAAACCACTTATACATATGTTTTTAAATAATAAATCTGGATATCTGATAAAGTGAAGAATTATAAAAATAAAATCTCTGTACTTGGTGAAGAGATATGTCTTTTAACCATCAGTATCAGCTACTAATGGGTGAACATACCACTAATTTTTATACCATTACTATATGAGATTGATTCAGTAATACATTCATATAATTAACAATTCGAAAGATATACCTTCCATATCTCATCTTTGGCTACTCAGCTTTCCCAGAAAGCAATTTCTTAAGTATCCTTCCAAAAATGTTCTCTGTATATACAATTAAATTATTTTATGTATGTGTGTATATACATACACATAGCACGCATATACAATGTTCTGCACTTTGCTTCTTTTGCACTTAAAATGTCTTGTAAAATACTCCTTATTAGTAAGTAAAGAGTTTCCTCATTTTTGTTTTCATGGCTTCACAGTTCATTTTCTTGATGAACAATAATTTAACTAGTCCCCTACTTGAAGGATTTCTAAGTTGTTTCCAATCTTTTGCCATTACAGTCAATGCTGCAGTGAATAACACTGAACACATCATGTTGCATTTGTGAAAGTAGATCTGTAGGACAAATACTCCAAAATGGAACTGTAAGTCAAAGGGCATGTGCACTTTTAATTTTGAAACCCACTAGCCAAATTGCTTTTCATACATGGCACCAATAGTGTATGAGAGTACCTGTTTCCCTCACACCATTTCAAATTATCAAACTTTATGATCTTTGCTAATCTGATAGGTGAAAATAGTATCTTAGTGTAGTTTTTTTTTTTTTTAGTGACAAAGTTATTTTCAAGTCAATTATCTGATTATGTAAAGGAGAAAGTCTCAGTTTAATGTTCCCTTGCTGTAAACACTTCGGTAACACTTGCTGATCTCTATTCTTTTTAAATAACCTTCTTATCTGGAGATCATTGAAAATTCACATGAAGTTTTAAGAAATAATAAAAAGAAATCCCATGTACCTTTTACCCAGATTCCTCCAGTGAAAAACTATATTATAACCAGGATACTGACATTGATAAAGTTAAAAGACAACATTTTCATCATGAGAGGATCCATCATGTTGCCCTGTTACATGATTCACTCCCACCCCACTGCCTCCTTAATCCCTGGCAATAACTAATCTGTTCTTCACTACCAAAACTGTCATTTCAAGAATGTTACATATATGAAATTATAGAGTATGCAACCCTCCCAAGTGTTTGCAGATTTTTCAGTTAATGATTTCCAATTTGATCCCATTATATGATTTCAATGCTTTTAAATTTGAAGTTTGTTTTATGGTTCAACATATGGTCTATTTTGGGAACTTAAAAAGAATATGTATTCTGTTGTTGTCAGGCAGAGTGCTGTATAAATGCAATTAATCCCTCCTGATGATGGTGTTGAGTTCTTCCACATACTTGCTGATTTTCTGTCTGGTTCTTCTTTTAGTTGTTGAGAGAGTGGTGAAGTTTCCATCTATAATTGTGGATTTGTTCATTTCTTCTTTCAGTTTTGTCAGTTTTGCTTCACATATTTTGCAGTTCTGCTGTTTATTGCACATACAGGACTGTTATGTCTTCTTGGTGGAGTGACCCTTTTATCATTACACTAGAGCCGTGGTCGGCAAACCGCAGCTCGTGAGCCACATGCGGCTCTTTGGCCCCTTGAATGTGGCTCTTCCACAAAATACCACGTGGGGGCGCGCATGTACCGTGCGATTGAAACTTTGTGGCCCATGCGCAGAAGTCGGTATTTTGTGGAAGAGCCACACTCAAGGGGCCAAAGAGCCGCATGTGGCTCACAAGCTGCGGTTTGCCAAGCCGCAGTTTGCCGACCACTGCACTAGAGGCCCGATGCACGAAATTCGTGCAAGGGGCTTGGCTCTTGCAGCCGCGGCAGCTGCCTCAGCCCTCACAGCCCTGGCTTCATCTGGAAGGTCGGTTGGCTGTCCTGTCTAATTAGCATATTATGCTTTTATTATTATAGATAATGTTCTCCCTGTCTATGGTAAGTTTCTGAAGCCCACTATTAATTGTAGCCACTCTGATTTTTCTTTAATATTTGCATGATATAACTTTCCATCCTTTTACTATCTAGTAGCCTATATTTTTATATATTAAGTGAGTTTCTTCTTCCTTTTTTCTTCTTCGAAATACAAACATAGACTTTATTACAAAACAGTTTTTCACACAACTGCAAGTTATTAGAATGGTATTCTGGTAACAAAATTTGTGAGAAATACTTGACCAAGTAAAAGCATGTAAGACTTCTCTATAGTCAACGTTCTCAGACCTTTACAGAGGAGGACAACTGCATTCCCTCTAAGTAAAGCCAGGCAGAGACAATGAGCACTGTGTGTCACCCCGTTGTGGGGCTCAATGCCTCCATCCCCAGGACTGGAGAAAGGGCAGGTTATGAGGACTGGAAGGGTCCTGCCTTCAGCCTTTGGGGGAGGGGGAGGAGGAACAAGCGAAGGAGGAGAGAAGGAAAAGAGGAGAGGAGGAGGAGGAGGGGGAGGAGGAATGAATTGAGAGGCAGCTGAGTGCTCACCTGTGCTGCCTCCACTAATCTGTGCTCATCACTCTGGGGAGTTGCAGATGAAGAGGGATGTTGGTGAGGAACAATAAGAAAAATTTGGTTTACTTTCCCAGCTTGTATTTATATTTTGTGCTTTAAAATCCTGGAGATTTAAGCTTCTGCTCAAATTCCAGAGTACAGTAATATCTCTAATGAAGGAAGGCTTAGGGCAGGTAATTCCCATCATATTTCTGAGAGGGACAAAGGTTAGGTAAGGATTATACCTTAGTTTTATTTTAGGAAATACTCTTTTTCCTAGTGCATATGTGGATTTTTTGATCCAGTTTGCCAATTTTTAAGTGGTATATTTAGACATATTTAGCATACTTATATAATGACTGATATGTTAGGGCTTAAGCCTGTAATTTTATTTTTTATCTTCTGTTTTATTGTTTCTCTTTTATTTTTCCTGCCTCCTATGGGTTAAAATTATCTAGAATTCCATTTTTATCTCTCTTGTTTTTAAATCCTCACCCCAGGATATACTTAGAGGGAGGAAGGGAGAGGGAGAGAGAGGGAGGGAGAGAGAGAGAGAGAGAGAGAGAGAGAGAGAGAGAGAGAGAGACAGAAAGAGAGAGAAAGATTCTCCCGTACATGCCTCTACCCAGGATTGAACCTACAGCGTTTTGGTGCATGGGATAACACTCCAAACAACTGAGACACTTGGTCAGGGCTTATCTATCATTTTTGAGTGTATTTTTAAAGTTTATTTCTTGGTATGTTTTTTAGTGGTTGCTCTTGGTATTATATGTACACTAGAGGCCTGGTGCTCGACATTTGTGCATGGGGGGGGGGGGGGCTGTGCCCTCTCGCAGTCCGGGCCATCCCCTGAGGGGTCCTTAGTGCTGCCGCGGAGGCGGGAGAGGCTCCCACCACTGCCATTGTGCTTGCCAGCCATGAGCCCGGCTTCTGGCTGAGCGGTGTTCCCCGTGGGAGCGCACTGACCACCAGGGGGCAGCTCCTGCATTGACCATTTGCCCCCTGGTGGTCAGTGTGCATCATAGCAACTGGTCGTTCTGCCGTTCGGTCGATTTGCATATTAAGGTTTTATTATCTAGGATAGCTTATTGTAGTTATGTACATACTAGTGCCCCAGTGCATGGATTTGTGCACATTGAAAGACTTTCTATTTTTTCATTTGTTTCAACTGTGTTCCCAATTGCTTGTTGAAGCATTTCCATTATGTCACTTTAAAGTCTGTCATTTTTCCCTGGCTGGTGTGCTCAGTGGTTAGAGCGTTGACCAGTGCACCGAAGGGTTGCTGGTTCGATTCCTGATCAAGAACATGTACACCTCGGTGACGGGTTCACTCCCTGCTCCTGATTGGAGCATGTATGGGAGGCAACCAGTCGATATCTGTCTGTCTCTCTCTCTCCCTCCCTCCCTCCCTTACTTCCACTCTCTGAAAAGCAATGAGAGAAATACCCTTTGTGAGGATTAACTAAACAAAGAACCAAAATCTTTGTCCTCTTGGTTTTGGCATCTATTGTCTTTTCATTCAGTTTGAGACTTTCCTGGTTCTTTGTATAATTTCTGATTGAAGCCTGAATATTTTCAGATGTCAGTACTTCATTCCTTTTCATGGCTGAATAATATTTTCATATGGATATACCATATTTTGTTTAGGGTTCAGATTGCTCCAAATCCTAGCCTACAGTTATTATTACTGCTATAACTATTTGATTCTAGTCATCCTAGTAGTGGTATCTCTGTGGTTTTGATTTGCATTTCTCTGATAATGATAACAGGCATTTTTTTCATGTGCTTACTGGTTGTTTATCTTCTTAGGAAAAATGTCCTTTGGCCATTTTTTAAACTGGGTTGTCTTCTAATTATTAATTTATGTAAGTTGTTTGCAAATTTTAGAAGTGATTTGCAATTATATTTGCCAATTCTGTGGGTTGTCTTTTCACTTTGTTGATAATGCTCTTTGAAGCACAAAAGTTTAAATTTTAATGAAGTCCAATTTATTGTTTTCCCTTTGCTGTTCATGTTTTTAGTGTCATATCTAAAAATTCCCATTATTTATAAATTATACTTCAATACAGCTGAAAAAAAAAAAAGAATCCCTTGCCAAATCCAAGGTCATGAAGATTGACCCATTTTTGTCTTCTAAGAGTTTTTTTAAAAAATATATTTTTGTTGATTTCAGAGAAAAAGGGAGAGGGAGAGAGAGATAGAAACAGCAAAGATGAGAGAGAATAATTGATCGAATGCCTCCTGCAAGCCCCCTACTGGGGATTGAGCCCAGAATCCGGGCATGTGCTCAATTGGGAATCAAACTGTGACCTCCTGGTTCATAGGTTGAAACTCAACCACTGAGCTACACTGGCCGGGCCTAAGAGTTTTTTTTCCTCTTTTTTATTGTTAGATTTTTCAAACATACAGCAAGGTTGAAAGAACACTCCTACATCTACCACTTAGATTCAACAACTGAAACCAGTCTTCTAAGAGTTTTATAGTTTTAGCGCTTACATTCAGGTCTTTGATCCATTTGAGTTAATTTTTATATACAGTGTGAGAGGTAAGAATCCAACTTCATTCTTTTGCATGTGGCTTTCCAGGTGTTCCAGCATTATTCATTAAAAAGAGTATTCTTTCTCCACTAGATGGTCTTGGTACTCTTGTTGAAAATCAGTTGACCATAGATATATGGGTTTATTTCTGGAATCTCAATTGTATTTAATTGATAGATATGTCTATCTTTTTTAAAAAATATATTTTATTGATTTTTTACAGAGAGGAAGGGAGAGAGATAGAGAGTTATAAACATCGATGAGAGAGAAACATCGATCAGCTGCCTCCTGCACATCTCCTACTGGGGATGTGCCCGCAACCCAGGTACATGCCCTTCACCAGAATTGAACCTGGGACCCTTGAGTCCGCAGGCCGACGCTCTATCCACTGAGCCAAACCGGTTTCAGCGATATGTCTATCGTTGATGCAAGTACCGCACTGTTTGATTAGCATTGCTGTGTACTAATTTGTTCCTTTTTCATATGTCCCTTGCTTTTACTAATACTTATTATCAATACTTTTCTGCTTTGTATTTTTTAAACTGTAAATCTATTTACAATGTTTCTTTATACTTTCCACATACATAATCTCAGCTGGACTTCACATCACATCTGCTGGGTAAAAAAAGTATATTACCTTTGACAAATAAGCAAACAAACCCAGAGAGCTCAAATAACTTAGGGTGAAATAGCAGGTTAGATCAGCCATAAAATATAAACTGAATGATAAAGGCTTATGTATTGGACACTGTGCAAGAACTGGAATTTAAAAAGAAAACAAAATGGGGTAAAAGTGTCTGCCTTCTAGTAGCTTACAGTCTAATGCAGTGGCCTTCAACAATTTTGCTTATGTATTCTCTACAAGAATTTTGAGAAACTATATATTAAATTGACAACTACAATGAAAATTTTCATCATGTTTAATGATGCAAGAGATAATTTCTAGTATACTGTATGTTACATATATGTGCTTTAAACATATTTTCATCAAAATCTTAGAGCTATAGATTTTGCTGAATACTTATAAAATGTCTGCTACTAACTTAATGACATATCAATCAGCCACATCAAATTCACTTTCTTGTCAGAACATGTCTGACACTTCATTTTTCAATTAAAATAAACATATTAATATAAGTTTCTGTGGTAAATATCTCACTGCTGTTTTACAATTCTAAGATAGATTTGACATAGGAAACTTGATGTGAGTTGGTAGCCAGAATGACCTAAAGTGCAGTACCTTTCCATATTTCTTGCTTTGCTTTTAGAAACACACTCTCTCGGAAACATGATCTCTTGAATGAACTGTCTTTTTTTGGTTCTAAACCTTCTGGGGCAATGCAGGACTCGGTGGGTGAGTGGTAAGCCTTTCTTTTACCAAAACAAAGAATAGAAAAGGAGAGGAAAGAGACTGCAAAAGGGTTCTCAGGCATTAACTTTAGTAAAGTTGAGCATCTATCTGAAAACTAATCTCCTTAAAACTAAACATGCTGATGTGCCCCCTAGAGAGCCTTGGTATAGTTCCAAGGATATTTATATCTTGGTTTGAAGACTAATAGTCTACTATTCATAGCTGTGAAGAAAATCCAGATCTCTAAACCTATGCGTTTCATACTCTCTGACAATATATTGTCTCATAAAGTAGTCAACAATTTCTGTTCAAAGTCCCAACTGCTGCTGTCTTTGCAGATGAGATATAGGATAGAAACAATAATAAACCCACGGTATAGTTATTGATTCTCCTAATATAATGCTTCTAAAATAAGCTAGAAAAAACCCCACTACTGCTTCCAAATAGAAATAAAATGATATTTGGTATACTAGTAATTTAACAACAGTACCTCCCAACCAAGACCAGCTACAAAATCTTCATATGCTTGACTTCCTCCTGTATTTGTGAGAATGGAATGTTTATCTTCTTGTCCTTCAGCAACATAAAATACTGCGATCTTGTGTGTCTCTCGGCTATAAAATAAAAGATTAATTTATCGGTTATTATCCAATAATGATGTTCTGTGAACAAAGTATGTGGCAATAAAAAGATGAAAACGCTTTAAATCTTATAATCTGTAGAGGGAGAAGAGTAATTATAAGTAAAAAAATTATAAAAATTACAAAATTGCCATTGGAACAGAAGAAAGGTATGATTACTTCAGGCTGGAGAAACTTGAAGAAGAAGGTAATATTGAGTTGAGTGAAAGTAAGATTTGACGAAGAAGAGGAATTATATCAGGAAAGACACATAGGTGTGAGGGCATGAAGCATCTTAAGAGTTGCCTGTTGTACAATGTGGCTGAATCCCAGAGTTAAAGGAACTGTGGTTTAGAAATAATATAGGAGAATAGAGATGAGAAATGATTCATTTCTTCAAAAGTACTTATCATACAGAAGAAATGTGTACACAAATATTATAAAACTCTCATCCATGACAGTCTGGAAGACTGTGCAAGCCCAAGGCAATACCTTCTTTGGAGCAATCACAGAGCGAACCTCCAAGCTACTAATCTCTGGGTGAACATGGGGCAAAAAAGCACTAGGAACATAATAGCTGCCTCAAAGCTACATCCACAGTAAACAATAAAAATCTAACTGGTTAAAGGAAATAAAGCACAAACTTTTATTAATAAGTAGATTAGGTCAACCGATGGAGAACCCTTGGTAGCAAGACTAAAAGAAAAAAAAATGTAAAAAAAAAATGAGCATGGAGATCAGAGGCACATACCCTGGGCCTGGGGAATAGAGTTTGCAACATTAGCTCAGCCAACTCACTAGAAAATAAACAAATAATCAAGCAAACCACCACCACCACCACACTTTTATTTTTTTAAAATATATATTTTTTATTGATTTCAGAGAGGAAGGGAGGAGAGATAGAAACATCAATGATGAGAGAGAATCATTGATCGACTGCCTCCTGCACACCCCCTACTGGTTTATACTAGTAGGTATGTGCCCTTGACAGGAATAAAACCCAGGACCCTTCAGTTCACAGGCCGATGCTCTATTCACTGAGCAAAACCAGCCAGGGCCCCCACAAACACACTTTTGATTCAAAGACACTGATAAAGTTGATAGCAAAAGAAATGGAAAAAGATACCATGCAAAGAGTAACCAAGAGAGCTGAAGTGGCTATACTAGTATCAGACTTGAAAACAAAAAATGTTATTAGAGATAAAGAGACATTTCATACTGTTAAAAGGTTAATCTAACAGGAAAATATGAAAATTAAAAACATATATGCACCTACCAATAGAGCTTCAAAGTACATGAAATGAAAGAAGACAGAATTGAAGGCAGAAGTAGACATTTCTACAGTGTAAGAGACATCAATACCCCACTTTTTTTTATTGATTTTTTTTTTTTTTTTACAGAGAGGAAGGGAGAGGGATAGAGAGTTAGAAACATTGATGAGAGAGAAACATCGGTCAGCTGCCTCCTGCACACTCCCTACTGGGGATGTGCCCACAACCAAGGTACATGCCCTTGACCGGAATCAAACCTGGGACCCTTGAGTCCGCAGGCTGACACTCTATCCACTGAGCCAAACCGGTTAGGGCAATACCCCACTTTTAATAATGGGCAAAAAAACCCTAAGAGAATATCAACAAGGAATGAGAAGATTTGAGTAACAGTATAAACCAACTAGACCTAACAGACAACTACAGAAAACTATCCAACAGTAACAGAAAACACATTCTTCTCATGCATACATCGAACATCTTTCAAGATAGACTACATGGTAAACCATAAAACAAGCCTCAATAAATTTGAAAGTCCTGAAATTATGCATAGTGTATTTTCTAATCACAATGGAATAAAATTAGATATCAGTAAAAGAAGAAAATTTGGGAAATTCACATGTATGTGGAAATGAAACAAAGTACATTTAAATAACTGATGGGTCAAAAAATATATCTCAAGGGGAATTAGAAAATATTAGAGATGAATGAAAATGAAAGCATAACATACCAAAACTGATGGCATGCAGGTAAAGCAGAGCTCATTGGTAAACTTATGGATGTAAATGCCTATATTAAAAAGAGGAAATATCTCACATCAATAACTAAATTTTCCACCTTAAAAAACTAGAAAAAGAAAACCAACTAAACTCAAAGCAAACAGAAAGAAAAAAATAATAAAGGCTAGCATGGAAATAAATGAAATAGAATAGAAAAATAATAGAGAAAAATCAAGGAAACCAAAACTTGGTTGACATGATAAAAAAAAAAAATTGACAATCTATCAGTAGATAAGCAAGAAAAAAAGAGAAATTCAAATTACTAAAAATCAGGGAAAAAAAGAAGAGACCTCACTACATAGCTTACAGAAATAAATACCTTATGAATTATAAGGGAAGTAGTGACCTGGTGCATGGATTCGTGCACATTGAAAGGAAATTAATTAGAAGATGGCTGGCGGGGCGGGATTGGGTGAGAAGGGCTGGACACGCCCTGGAGCCAACTTTCCTCAGTCCCCCCCACCCCCTCCCTCACCTGCAGAGTGAGCAGGGTCCCTCCAACAGGTGGGGTCCCTTGGGCTGGCCTGTGGGGACCGGCCAAAACTGGCTCTCTGACATCCCTCAAGGGGTCCCGGGGGATGCAAGAGGGCACTCTGCAAAGTTGCTGTCGTACAGGGTGTGGAACACAAATGCAAGTGTGCAGTAAACCAGATTCGGGGCCGACAGTGCCCCAGCAACAACATAACCCACAGCCGAAGGTAGAACTGTGTGGCCCCGTGAGGAATCGGGCTCCCTCCTCTCTGGTTTCGAGGTGCGTCACCTGAGAACTGCCGCTGCCAAGTCACTGCAGCTAGGCAGCTCCTGCGTTGAGTGTCCTGGTGGTCAGTGCACATCATAGCGACCGGTCAGACAGTAGGAGCGACACTTAGCATATTAGCCTTTCATGTATATAGATACTACCAACAACTGTATGCCAACAAATTAGATAAATCAGATTAAATGGACAAATTCCTAGATAGACACACATTACTAAAACCAACAGAGAAGAAATAGAATGCCTGAACAGATCAATAACAAATAAAGAGATTGAATTAGTAATTTGATTGAAAAGGAAGAGGTAAAATTACCTCTACTTGCAGATGAGATGATTTTGTACACAGAAAATCCTAAGGAATACATCAAAAAGCTATTAGAGCTTTCAATAAATGAGTTCAGCAAGCGTTCAGGATACAATATGTATATAGAAAAACCAATTGTATTTCTATACACTAGACACCTAGGATTTTGATGTTTCTATCTCTCTCCCTTCCTCTCTATAAAAATCAATAAAAATTGATTTTAAAATTTTTTTAAAAAAAGTTAAGCTCCTGCTACATATTTCTAGTCACAAAACCATCACCAAACTCTTAAATACTTTTAATAAACATTAAAGTAAACGAGCTATACACTTAAGAAAAACTGATAAAAAGAAGATATTATTTTTCAACCTGCTTATTCCAGTTCAGAGTTACGGGTGGCTGGAGTTTACCTAAGTAGCTCAGGGTGCAAGACAGGAACCAACCCTGGACAAAATGCCATTCCATCACAGAGAGGAGCACTCAGACAGTCACCCACACTCACTCATACTGGGACAATTTAGATATGCCAATTAATCTAATGTGCACATCTTTGGAATATGGGAAGAAAATGGAGTACCTAGAAAAAACCCACTCAGACGTGAGGAGAATGTGAAAACTACATAAAGAATAGATTTTCCCTCCTCATCAATGATATAATGAACATAGTTAGCTCTAGCCGGTTTGACTCAGTGGATAAAAGGGTCCTGGGTTCGATTCTGGTCAAGGGCACATACCCGGATTGTGGGCTCGATCCCCAGTAGGAGGCATGCAGAAGGCAGCCAATCAATGATTCTCTCTCATCAATGATGTTTCCAACTCTCTCTCCCTCTTCTTTCCTCTCTAAAATCAATAAAACATATGTTAAAAAAAAAGAAACATAGTTAAACAAAATGTTATTCCAGGACCTGCTGTACTCTGAAAACTATAAAACACTGTCAAAGGAAATTAAAGATCTTTTTTTTTTTTTCGCTAAAAGTATTACAAAGGGTATTACATAAGTGTCCTTTTTTCCCCCCCGCCCTTGACAAGCCCCTGCCCTCCCTTACCCCCCAGTGTCTTATGTCCATTAGTTATGGTTATATGGATGCATACAAGTCCTTCGGTTGATCTCTTACTCCCCTCCCTCCTGTCCCCCAACCCTCCCTGGCCTTCCCACTGCAGTCTGTCAAACAGTTTGAGGCAGCTCTGCCACTGTATCTATTATTGTTCAAAAGTTTGTAATGGTCTTAATTATCCATGAAAGAGTGCGATCATGTGGTATTTTTCCTTCATTGACTGGCTTGTTTCACTTAGCATAATGCTCTCCAGTTCCATCCATGCTGTTGCAAATGGTAAGAGTTCCTTCTTTTTAACAGCAGCATAGTATTCCATCGTGTAGATGTACCACAGTTTTCTAATCTATTCATCTACTGATGGGCACTTAGGCTGTTTCCAGATCTTAGCTATGGTGAATTGTGCTGCTATGAACATCTGGGTGCATATATCCTTTCTGATTGGTGTTTCTGGTTTCTTGGGATATATTCCTAGAAGTGGGATCACAGGGTCAAATGGGAGTTCCATTTCCAATTTTTTGAGGAACCTCCATACTGCCTTCCATAGTGGCTGCACCAGTCTGCATTCCCACCAGCAGTGCACAAGTGTTCCTTTTTCTCCACATCCTCTCCAGCACTTGTCGTTTGTTGATTTGTTGATGATGGCCATTCTGACAGGTGTGAGATGGTACCTCATTGTTGTTTTGATTTGCATCTCTCGGATGATTAGTGACTTTGAGCATGTTTTCATATGTCTCTTGGCTTTCTGAATGTCCTCTTTTGAAAGGTGTCTATTTAGATCCTTTGCCCATTTTTTGATTGGATTGTTCATCTTCTTTTTGTTAAGTTGTATGAGTT